CATTGATTGACATATTGCTTTTCTAGTGTCTGATGTATTCTGCTGTCAGTGTTTTTGTCCACTAGCTTAGCCTCAGAGGAGCCACTGGTATCTGTCGCTGCCCAGATGATGCTCAGTGTGTTGGCATTGACAAGGACTCTTACCATTCCACCTCCTGTCCTGAAAACCCAAGGTTTTATGCCTGCTGCCCATCATGAACCTGATGCCTATTTAGAAATTTCTGTATCCCACAGCCTGGACCACACACATGCTGAAGAGGAACCCATCTGCAAGAGGTAATCAATAGACATGTGCATTCTTTGCCCCTGAAGAATGCACTAACAATGTTAGGAGAAATGCTGTGGATCAGAATGACCGGGATTAACACTTTCCCAAAAGTGTTGCTGATGCCCCATTCACAATACATGGACAATCTTCAAGATATGAACACATTGTTGCCTGAATACATTTAGTTTGCATGGATGTATTAAAAACTGTGTGCATACATGCACAAAACATATGCACACACAACACATACACACACACACACACACACGAGGTTTGTCAGTAAATAATATATAATATAAGGGTAGGTGAGAAAGCCTTGACTTTTAGTGTATGAGGTATGTCTATCTCAAAACTAATTCCAATCTAATTACCTGATGCCACTGAATACCAAACTGAAAGGAATGGACAGCAACAGCTACCATAGCTGGTTCCTGGCAGCTCCAGCATAGAAAGTAGATGTGTACAAAATCTACCTTCCCCCAGGGTACTAAGTTGAATTCCAACCCTAAATGTACAAACAAAACTACATTAACACGTCCAGACAAAAATACACCTCATGGCTTCTGAGCAAATGAACATCTGATATTTCCATCCTAAACACAAAGAAACACCACCTGTTACTAAATGAATGTTTGGAGAAAAATACCCTACTCATCCTAAATGTTCAAGCACATTTCTGCAAGTATTCATACAAGTGCCACATTGGTTGGACACATACATGTACAATAAATACACTGCTCATATATACCCAATGAATATCTTACAGGCCTGTATGAATATCTGTGCCTGTAAGATATTCATTGGGTATATATGAACCAAAAAGTATACAACCAGTCATCTCTTGTGCTACACAAAACAGACCCACATGAAATCCCACATTTCTAAACTACACACATTCCACAACACCCGAAGACAATCTATTTGTAAGCACACAATGAACCTCTCACCTCTGCCAGAGTACACACACCAAGAGCCCCATGAATTCAAGACACGCTCAGCCATCAACAAACTAAACGTCTCAAATGCATGAGACTAAAACATAATTATATACCAGAACAACACCATGCACTAACACCACCAAAATCCTCAAGAATCTCATGCCATAATAAACACAAACACAATTCCTGAGCATCTTATATACACGCAGATTCTAAATACACACATCCACAAATTCATGAACATACACCTAATCACTTGGGTGCCTACACACAAAACACAAAAATGGTAGTCTTGCAGGCATAAGGCAGAAAG